ACAATTTTTCGCTATTCAACTTTCGAAAAAAATTAAACATTATTTTAACCTCTATTGTTATATACATATATTGTTATATATATATATATATATATATATATATATATATATATATATATATATTAGATTTTTATGAGCCTATACAAAAGTTTTAATCGACAATTTAAAAATATTCAAGAAAAAAAAATGAATAACGTACTTTAATACTTAAATGAAGAATTCTATTTATTTAATACAAATTTTATATTAAAATTTAGGGCTATTTATTTATTTCCGATAATTTCAATTTAACATCTCGACATTTTATAATTTATAAAAAATGCATAATACATGATCCTTTTCTTATTAATATTTCGAATATTATTGTCGATAAAAAAATAATGAATATTTAGATTGAAAAATAATTTATTGTATATAAATTTTTAATGTCACATAGTTACTTAAAAATGTAATCTATTTTTATGTTCTATTTCATTTAACAATCATACATACCAATAAATATTACGTGCAAATTGATATTTCAAAACACATTAATATTTATTACACAAGTATCGAAATACTCATAAAATGTTAAGAATGTACATGATATCAATATTACATAACATTAATTATTCATTTAGATATTCGGTAGTAATTATAACAGTAATATATACATTAATCGTGCGATGTAATCATATTCCAAATAAGCAGTATCTCATGATTTTTTTTTTAGTCAGCTTTCATCGAATCCTTCGAACTCCTTATATTGACAATAATAACATATTTCTTCGGAAAATTTTTATAATTAATTCCTCTACTTTCCTCTCAAAATAGAATTTGTGGAATGAAATTAATGACGTAATAGAAATTTTGTTTTTTAACGGGAAAATACTGTAATCTGCCGTTAGAAACTTATTAAAAAGACTTACTAAAAAATTAATTTATATTTACGTAAATGTTGAATAAAATGCAAAATCGACAAAAAATATAATATTTTGATGTGATAATAGGCATTCTGTTAACTAATAGCAATGTATAATATGTAAAACCAATGAATATTAATAAAAATAAGATAAAAAATTGATAGCCATAATAATTAATTGGAATTTTGAATTAATATATTTGAAATTTTGCTACACATGTTTCTATACAATAACATTCTCTTAATGTTTAATTTTTGTCCATTAAAATTCAAACATTTGCAAATTTGTGAGCATTCTTTCTTTGATCATTCGATTATATAAAATATCACGTTTTAGAAAGTACAACAAAAATGCCATGAAATAATCTATACCAAAAAAAAACTGAATATTATTGAAGTGATAAAACCTAGATAATGAATTATTAAATATTTAATTATATTGGTAGATCCAATTCATAAGTATCAATTATACGAAATAAAATGCAATAAATACAACAAATTTGTAATAAAAATTAAAAATGAATAATAAATAATTTTATAATGAAATTGTAATTAAATTAACAGACATAAGTTAACATATTATAATTGAAAAAATGTCTGTTTGCGTGTGAGATGTATAAATATTTATATTAGTCTTTGCACGTATATATTTTATTGTTTTTCCTTTCGAGTTAAGAATCTGTTGCGTCAAATCTCGTGGATAAACATGAAATTTATCTATATTTTTTCGATTAATTAACGATAAAATAGTAATATCAATGTATTGGTTTTTTTTTTTTTGTAAATAAATATTAAACTATTATTGAGGAACATATTTTTAATATACATAATATATTTTCCATATTGTGTATAAGAAATTTGGAGATTATTATTTATTAAATAAAAATTAATTTAAGGAATAATTTTTGTTTTTGATTCTATATTTTTATAAATTTATTTATCGATAATAAGTAAAAAAAAGTCTTCATCAATTAAATCTATGGGATTTGATGTTCTATGATTTGACACATTTTGCTACTTTTTGTAATTTTTATTTATAATAAATATTTGCATCAGATTTTGTAACAAGGATATCTGAATAAGATTTTATAGTTTCAACTGTTGAATATTAGTCGTCATATTGTTGGTTCAGTGATTCTTAGTATTTTGAACGCTTAGACCGTTGATACCATTGTTTGTGGTCGTAAAAATGTTCAAATTATACAAATGTTCTTTTAAGTCCAATAAATGTTGTTAATTATTTATTTATTTATTTATTTATTTATCTATAATCATATATCTGAGGAATAAAACAGGTGCGTAAATTATATAACGGTTATATTGTACTTATGTTTCCGTTTTGAACAAATATTTGTATTACCAAACCTTGCATGCTAAAAATATATCCTTTTTTTAATGTATAATCATTGTCGATATGTACTTATAGCATAATTGTAAAATATTAAGAAAGATAATGGATATATACATATATATATATATTTTATTTTTTTTCCTACGCGTTATCCCTTCTCAGAATTATTTGAATATTTTGATATGATCACATTAAAAATATAATCTGTAAAAGTAACAATGTGATATATTTTAATAAAAAAAATTACTTCATAAAACAGATGTAACAATAACTATCAGAATTATATTACTTTATTATGCCTAATTTATAATTAATTAATAATTAATGTATACAATTACATTTTTACGTATTATGAATACAAGTACAATAGGCTAATGATTATGTGCAAGTTGACCAAGACTATACTTAACATTTTATTCTTTTCATTCTTCTTCTCTTAGCGATAAATTTATTTTAATTTATAGAGACGCTTTTCTCATCAACGATCTCATAAATGTCTTATAATTCAAAAAGAATTGAGTACATTTAGTGCTTTTTGTCATTTTTGTAAATTTAAAATAGATGAAATTCACAATCTGCACATTTCATATTTATTTATTATATCTTCACATATATATAGATCCTTATAAATTATTTCATATGCAAATTTGTTTTCAATTGCTTCTTTATTCTTTTATTATACTTATAATTTATTTAAGATTGTAGAACCGTAATATATTCTGAAATATTCTGTTTTATTAACACGCCATATAACTAAATATTAAATAATAAGATTTATATTCATAACTAACTTTTGTTTTATTGCTAAGACTATTTTTAATTCGAATGGTAATATATTTATTCTAATCTACAATCAGCGATGATATTAGAAAAATTGAGCTCATCCTTATCAGGCTACTAGGCCAAATTTGGAAAGTTAGTTGTAATCTTTTCGTAATAGTGTTTACCTTAAATAAAACTGACTTATTATTGTTTAATTCAAAATTTATAATTTCAACCCCGTGCATATTAATGAGATTATACCGACAATTAAATATTATGCAATATGGAACTGTCAAATTAATCATAAAAATCATAAAAATTATATTTTGCCAGAAAAAAAATAGATGTAAAAGAAAATCATTTTATTGACAAATATTCTTTGCACGTTCGATTAATTAGTTTTGATATTCTAATAATTTCATTACCTTTAAATTATATTTCAGTATGCTACATCAATCGTTTTTTATCAATAAGTACTGATATTTATGTTTTTTATCTGCATTAATTTAATTTTTAATTTTTTTTATGTTTATATAATAATGATGGTTATATAAATGGTTATTGTGTGCACTTGCAGCATAGCCAAAGTGAAATACGTAAACATCAATACGTACGAATGCATTTAAATAAAAAATTTTATGTGAAAATAAAATTTTATTCGTTTTTAAAGAAATTCTTAAAAGAATTTTACGTTATTTTAGATTAAAAATCAACAAGTACTTTATCATTTGATAGTTACATAAATTATGTGTATTGTAATAATATTAGAAATGAGAAAACATTATAAAATTTTAAAATAATTGTACTTTTCATGAATTCATCAAATAATATTTGGGGTATTCAATAATTAAATTGAATGTAGATATTAGAAAATCATTGCAAAAATATATGAAAATATTTTTTCATCACATTATAGTTAGTAAAAGAAAATATTAAAATTATAAAAATAAACGTTCAATGTACATTTATAATACGTTAATTACATTTCATAATTTGAATGTGCAAACTATAAAATTACAAGTATATTATTATTTGCATACGTAAAAATAAGATTACAACAAGCACAAATTATATAGTTGTCTAATAAAATATGCTATTCCATAATCTCGTTTCATTGACATATTATATTATGTTTATCGATATTTATATTAAGAGGATAATACGTAGTTACGATAAGAAAGTTTTTTATTTTGTTTCATTTTGTCACTGGTCAACTTGTACGGCTCATTTGATTGACAATACATTTATTATATTGAGAATGTTTTCAAATTGAAAATGTCAACAAGTTCTAAATCATATAATTGAAGTATTAATGCTGTCGATCATTACTTATATTTTGCAATTGCCCTCGTTATAAAATTTAACTATAAGGTCAATCATGAAAATAAATATCGGTGCTATTATACATGTGATTTTGCCAAAATATTTTTTTTTCGTCTCACACCGGTTTTATACACACCAAAGAGACATGAATAAAAAATTGTAGCCAACGCAAGCGCAAGTATGAATAATAAATGAATAACTTACTAAGTAAAGAGTGACACTAATGAAATTATAAGCCAAAAATAACGCTTTATTTATAAAAACAATTTATAAATTGAAAAAGAAAAATGCGAAGGGCCAGCCTTGTGTAACTTCATATTTCGCATTTGCACTTCTTGATGCTCTTACTTTCTTCGGACCTTCTTTTTTTTTTCAGCTATAGCATACTAACGAACTAAAGAATGAACTGACGAATTTCCTTTCTAATTTTTCTTTTCCTCTACTTATAAATGATATATAACACTCTTATTTTTTTTTTTTTTTTTTTTTTTTTAAATACCCCCTTCTTAAAAAAAAAAAAAAAAAAAAAAAAAAAAAAAAAAAAAAAAAAAAAAAAAAGAAAAACTTGCAAAAGAGAGTTTTTTTAAAATCAAAATTTTCTGTAACCCTTCTCCCCTCTTCTTTACTATGTCTTGCTATGTCCCGGCTTTCTTTTGTTTCTAGATATTGCAGAACCTACAAAAAAAACGCACTGAGCGGAGAGGGCGCCTAAGCTCTGACAATATGAATAAAAAGAAGTCTGGTTTCAGCAAAAGCGACCTTATTTTTAAGGTAACCCACCCTTAAAACGAAAACGCGATCAACGCTCTTAATCCACGCACTCCCGCCGATCGTCGCCTCGTTTTCCAATTAAATGTAAAAAGACAATTCCTTCGCGGCTTCTCGTTTTATTCCCAAACCCAACGATTCTTCGATAACCCGATAGAGGCTCTCTAGAATGGAAGAACTGCCATCAACTTCATCAATATCATCGTAGCGCGTCAACTTAATTAGGCACGCAGAAGGAATGGAATCAAGTGGATATCAAGGCCGCTCATAGCGTCTTTTGTGAACGTACTTTATCGATTATAATTATCATTATATTCGCGATTTCGTCACTGCAAAATATCTCATACATAGACTCAGGAATTGCACAGCTCCGTAATTTCGTTCGGGTACGTAGTAGAAAAGCAGGTCATACGAATAGCGATAGATTTTATAGTATATTAGGGTGAATTCATGGACAATTACGATATCTTGAATAGGGAGAGCCTCCATCGCGTTTCGAAGCATTAACGTGTCGCGGCTGTAATGTGGAAAGCAGTGGAGGGAGGAGCAGCTGCACGCTGATTGGCTCGTTGGTTTTTTTTTCTTTCTTTTTTTCTTTTTTTTTTGTTTTATATTAAAAACATTTGCTTTAATTATTTTTTTTTATAAATAATTAATTTTATATTATAATTTATGTGTAATATAAATTAATATAATTTATATGTAATATAAATTAATATAATTTATATGTAATATAAATTAATATAATAAAAATTAATATATATATATATATATAATAAAATAAAAATATACGCGCGCGCGCGTGTGTGTATATGTGTATATGTGTGTGTGTGTGTGTGTGCGTGCGTGCGTGCGTGCGTGCGTGCGCGCGCGTATGCATATGTAACTGCAGCATATAAGCTACGCTTATAAACATTGTTTACGTAGTAAGTTCCATGCCATTGGCAATTGGCAGTCGTCTAGCGATTAAAAGAGTTTACTTATTCTAATGAGAAGTGGCAAGAACAACTATTCCATAAGTTTTTTTTTTTTATATAAAATAACGTAAAGTTTCTAATTGCGAACAACTTTTATCATATATATTTTATACCGTCATCATCATGTAGTTTTATAAAAATAAATTGGAGTAAATCTTTAGTTTACGTGAAATTTCATGTATATTTATGTAGTATGATATCATTGAAAAAATAAAATTAAAATATATATTTAAATTATTATAAATTACACTAATAAGAAGATGCGATATTAATATTATTATTTGCAATAATCATTAACTAATATCCTTCCTTGTAAAGAATACTTGATTTACAGTGATCACTTAATTTAAATTATTTATATCATCTCTCAAAATTAATACAAATCATACTTCAGCCTAGTATTAACAATATTTATAAGTATTTTATGTATAATGTTATATAATAAATATATATAATAATTTTATATAATAAAAATATATAATAATGTTATATAATAATTTTATATAATAAATATATATAATAAATATATATACCTTTTGATATGTAATATTATAAAATCAATTTTGAACAAATATTAGATGTTCATGATCGCATTTTTAAATTCGCATTAAAGAAATTATAAGATTTATATGATTTTTCATATTTATTAAACATTAAATACTTATGTTTTAGAAACCCATGTGTCATCATTTTTGAGATTTTTTAAAATTTAATAATTAAATTTTTGTAAATTAAAACATACCGCATTTTATAAATTTACCCCATTTTTAATACCTTAAAATTGATCGGATAGAATTATAAATCATATTTAACTAAAAATACAATTATATGATTGTTAATCATTCATTTAAAATGGTTTATTTTTAGATACATTGAATGTATTAGAAGATTAAGTTTTTGATTGATATTATATATTAAACTTAATTTAACAAACATTGTAATTTATTATCATTTGAGCATAGAAAATAAGCAAAGCTGAAAATTATCTTTTGAAAATGAAGTTTTCAATGTTAAATACATTGAAAAATTAACTGCACCAAAACAATGAATGAAAACAATGAGTTTCAGAGATTTTAAATAAAACTAAATTTGCCTTATTAATAAATGCAAAGCAATTTATAAGCGTTTTTTATAGCTCTTTAATCGCTAGACTGAGTCCGTATGTCATATATCGTCAAATAGATGAGAAAACGTTAAATAGAAGTTATAAAATTATAAATCTAATTATAAAATCTAAAACAATTCAAGTATCCAAACAAAAGAGAGTTTATCTTATAAAATTTATATAATTTTAGCATTTTTTTTTATAAATACGTATATAGCTTAAGATAAAGTTTTCCGAAATAAATATAAATTTTTGGTTCTATTCATATAATCATCTATTATAAATTTTGCACATATAAAAAAAAATCCTTAATAAATTTGTTTCTACTTAAAAAAAAAAAAAATATAAAAAAAAATAGAATATCGGTAAAATCGCCTATATAATTGTTTTACGTGCATATTATTGTAAGAAATGATTAATTAATGAAGAAATTTTAAATCCACGAAGGTAAAAGTAATAAATTACTTAATAATTTGTTATATTCACAAAAATATTTTTAATGATTTCACTAAGAAAATATCTAATTCAATACAATTATTTATTTATTTTTAATATAATTTTCGCATAAATCATCCTTGATCAAAATAATTATTTTTCTACAAACTTAAGTTGTTGTATTCCATAAAAAACTTTGTCTTTCGCTTTTTCCTTTGTTTTCTTGTTATTTCATTGCTTATCAAATGATCTAACTTCTATTAAACAAATATTTCCGAATTCATGAGCGTATTGCGCACGTAATTAAGCGTCCCCTTTTTATCGCTTTGTAATCGCGTAAGATGCACTTTCACAAACAAAACCGTACACCAATACCAAGATAATAAAAGAATGTCCGAGCCGTATACCGACATAGCCTGAGCGTGTATTGCTTCCTTCTCCTGTTTTAAAAGTTTAAGAAACGTATTTCGAGATCAGAGGACAAGTATTACTAACTACGTGTGATAACTCAATGTGCATATGTATAAATTATTTGTTAATGGTAATGGTAAATAATGCCGATTTCACAGTACGCATAGGATATTAGAAACAGCATTTAAGCTAGGTTTTTCTCTCTGTCGGCTAATTTTAATTTTAATTGGAATAAATAATATGCACCCGAAGAATCAGTTGGTAGCAAAATAGCAATTACGTGTCACGCGAAAGGAAGTAAAAAGGCCACCGCTGCATTTCCGGTTTGTTCATTAGCCACACAGATACATTTATATCATACGTACGTTAAAATAATGGTATATCAAGGAGTGCACGATGCTTGTTTAATTAAATATTAATATACATGTTAAGAGTGGCAATGGTATGCTATATAACTAGCTCGATTTAGCTAAATAAATTAACTAGCTTTTTTTCTTTTTTTTTATAAATGTGTGTCTATAAAGATAATGCTTAATCATACTTCTGCAATTTTTATGTATTGCTTTGAATATTCGGCTTATTGCTGCTTAAATAAGTGTTAACTTTCACTCATAACAAAAAGAAGAATATTTTTAGTATTAATCCTCCTGCTTTATTGCTCTAAACTTCTCGCTTTAATGCTTTCGTATTTATTGTATTGTTGATCTTGTTTGCAAGAAACTGCGACCTGCCGTTGTTTTTTCCATTGGTCCATTCTTTCTATGTGTTATTATTGTATATGCGTACATGTATATATATATATATACATATATATATATATATATATAAAATAGCATATACATGCTTATGCATATATAACATATAAAATAATATATATGAACGCACACACGTCTACACGCTCATACGCACGTACGCGCGTATACGTGTGTGTGTGTCTGTGCGTATATATATATATATATATATATATATATATATATATATATATACATATATATAGAGGAAGAAAAAAAGAGGAAGAGAGAGGAAGAGAGAGAGAGAGAGAGAGAGAGAGAGAGAGAGGGGGAGTGTGTGTGTGTGTGTGTGTGTGTGTGTGTGTGAGAGGTCATGCAGTATGTAATGTTGTGTTACAGATAAGCACAACTACGTATTGCATCTTTTTTTATTTCATATATTTATCGTTTGTCTTTTTGTTGGACAGTTATCTTCGTCGCATCAATATATTTGTTCTTCCTCGTTGCCTATTTTACTAAACACTACTTTCGATATTAAATTTAATTGTAATATCTCTAATATCATTTTTCGTTCTCCAATTGAATGCTATCGATGAATGCCGTTGGCGGTTCTTTTTCATCCTTATTATATTTTTTTTTCATTTCATTCATATAACGGTCTCCAAATTAGAGAGAGTATCATCGTTTAAGAGCTATATATTTAGAAAGTCGTCATCCCATTACATGCATTTTAATATTCACGCATGAGTCCAGCAATTGATTTTCGTACAAAGTCACTGTGAAAAATAATCATTCAGAGAATTACATTAATAAGAAGATTAATACAAGATTATCCTTTGATTATTTCATATTAATAAAAAGTGTATGTTGTCAGTCAATTATATTCTTACAATTATAGAATTTTTGAAAGGATTACTTGTAGATAATTTGTATTCGAGATCATTACGGTATCTATATAATGAAATTAATATGTTAATAATAAGTGAAAGCCACATTTTATCATACATTTTGCGTTAATAAAGAATATAATTTTACAATTACTTTACAAGATATGTCACCTACGTTTATGCTTTTTCGATTTTAGTTACTTTGTATGAACTATTTGACAATTGATAAGAGTTTGAAGGCTTTGCAAACTAGCTATAATAAATTTATTGAATTGTTTGAAATTGTTTGAAATAATAAGAAATTCTAATAAATAAATTGTTATTAATGTATTTCAATTCCAAAAACTTATCAACTTTCTTGTTTCTCTTTGCTGTTTGACTTCATTATTATGTACAGTTGATTAGTCAAATAATCAATAATCTCTTAGTTTATTTGTAAATCCTAGACACGAGGTAATGTATTATTATATTATTTGTAAGTCATATAGTTTTCTCAAGATCGTGCATTTGACTGTTTTAGTGCTTTCCTTTAACTATAATGAAAATAATAGGGAAAATAATTATCAGTGATTAAACGGATTATCACAATTCATAATTGCGAGTAGCAAATTACCATTTAGCGAGCATCATTATTTCCTCTATTCACGAATACTACGATAATTGTGAGTGATAGACCTGCTTATATTAAATACCCTATGAGCATAATTACGATCATATTTACACTTATATTTTTGGATTATATGCAGTTTGAGTTGACTACGTTATAATTAAATTATCGTTTATGAGGTCTTTTATTTAACAAAAATGAAATCATATAGATTATGGTGTAATATGTTTTCGCAAATCCTGTCGGTAAATATTGGAAATAAGAATTTGAAAACTTTAAATTACCTTTTGTTCGATTATGAAAATTATTTAAATAAGTAAAAGAAATTTCTGTATCATAATAGTTGTATTAATAAAACATTATATCTATTTAAATGATTTTCTTATTTTAATAATGTTTCATTACTTCTTATTAAATTGTGCAACGTAACTTATATCTTTTTAAATATCTAATAAATTTATTTTAAATTTCCTCTAGTATTTCAATTAAAATATTCATAGATCGTAGGGATAAATCGGGATTAAAGATTAAAATTTCGGTAATAGATGCATGTAAAGCTGATTATAAATACAATAACCAAAGCTTTAAATTAAAATAAAATAGATCGTAGCTCAAGCAGGTTTGTCCCTCTAATAAAGACAGAATAACTGCTACGGGAATCATGCTGGACAGATGACTAAATGTTATTATCTGTCCCACGTGAATACGGATATATATATATATATATATATATATATATGTGTGTGTGTGTGTGTGTGTGTGTATACCTTAATATTAAATGTAGTTTTATATCATAAGTATTAGCAGAGATTTGCAAGATTATGTAGAGCACATGTCTGCAATAAAATAACGCATAGTTGTCATAAACAGCAAAAGTGAAATCTTTTGGTATCATAAAATTGTTGCACGAAGGGAAGAACTCCGAGATTGGAAATTATTTTTTATAAATTCGACTTCATTTCTATGTAAGAATAAATGATTGGTCGAGATGATTTCAAATGAATATTATCATTACTAATTATTTTGCAAATAAAATTATTTGTTGCTATTTAATTTTTTTTTTTTTTTTATGAAGCATTGTAGCAACGTTGTATTTAATCGTTGGTTTTTATTTATATCTTTTGTTTCTAACACTACATATTTTATCCTTGCCTTCCTTATTTTATTAAGTTTTGCCTATTTGTAAATAATTTTTTCTGTTTTTTTTTCTTTTTATTTGTTTGTATAAATCATCACATACGTATTTTTCTGGTGTGGCATGTTTTCAATAACCGGACTCTTCAATACATTAGAAAAAGGTTGCTGTGACATCGGCACGTATAAAACTGTGTACAAGACAATGGTTCTGTCGAGAGCATCGTTAACGAGATGGAATGCATGAATGAAATATTGTTTAAATAATATTTTATGTACTTTAATAGAATAAACAAATGATTCGATCAATGTAGTTTCAACGATGCTCTCGTAACGTTAAACTTTCATTTTTAACGCCTTTTCTTTTTCTTTTTTTTTTCATCATGTTCTGTACTTTTATTAGACATTATTAATAATTTGTTTTGAATTTTATTTGCTTTATTTATTTATTTATTTACTTCCTTATGGACCTTGCACTTTTACTTATGATTTATTTGAAATTAGCAAATAACTAAATATGCTAAAGACTATTTTTTAACTCGATACCATCACAGTGCAACGAAGGCAAAGCGTAGTTGAGGAGTGTCATTTAAGGCATGTGTGTGTATATACATATATATATATATATATATATATGTATATATATATATATATATATATATGTGTACGCACACGTGTGTGTTGTGTTTGTGCGTGCGCGAGCGAGCGAGTGAATGCGCGTGCGTTTGTGCGTGTGTATGTTTGTATGTGTGTTTTTAATTTTTTGTTTATATACGTGCAGTACACAATTTGCTTATTTGCTGTACACTACGCAACGGCGCTTTCGGTTGCCTTTTAAACGACTGGTTGTGTGTCAGAAGCAAACGAGCGTATTAAATGAATGAGACAAAAGATAGTCAAGGTTTGAGGGATATGGTGTAATTATAGTTTTTTCTTCTATCTTTTTTCGACTCATTTTTCTTATTTATTTTCTTATTTCTCTGCAAGGTAAAAGCGGGAAGAATTGTGTTCTTCTTGATGGGTGGGACTCAAGGGTTGTCTGCGGTTTATTGAAAATATACTAAAACCGATGACATTGTTGTTGGCAGTTCCTGAACATGGCGTCGGTGTTTATGCGGATCTTTAACCTTATCTGCATGATGCTCCTTATCGGACACTGGAGCGGCTGCCTGCAATTCCTCGTGCCCATGCTTCAAGGCTTCCCAAGCAATTCGTGGGTCGCAATTAATGAGTTACAAGTAAGTTAATTGATTTTTTAAGCTTCGCGTATGTGAACTTTACGCGATTGAAAAACAATAAATTGAATTTATATATGAAATAAAATATTGGGACACGACTTGTTACTAACTAAGTGATTTCGATTCAATCGCCGTGCATGTTTTTGTATATTGCTGTGTTCCCTGTAAATTATTTCAAATTATTTAAAAGTAAATACAAACAATATTTGACTTTATTATTTGGATAAGATTGGTTATAAAATACAAATTTATTAAATTTTTACATTTTATAATTAAAAAAAATTATTATAGAATAGATTTTTAATGGGATAGTGCGAATCTTTTTACTTCATTATAACTGTCGACAATTACGTTGAAATATTAAAAAATCCTTCGAACGCCTATGTATGCAGTACTAAAATTATTTAGAATTTTCAATCCAAGACATTAATACGCATCATTCGATTTAATTTAACAAACTGGCATTATAAGACATATATATATATATATATATATATATATATATATTTCTTATTTGTAAATAAAATATATAAAAAAAAGTGCCTGATAATGCTGGTTTGTTAAATTAAATCGAATGATGCGTATTAATGTCTTGGATTAAACTTTCTAAATATATTTGAAATAAATCTTTTCAAAATCATGCTATATAAGCTCATATCCATAGTGTAAAATAAATTTTCATTTGTATCATCTATATGAATCTGCAAATATCGATATAAATTTGATGCAATCATAATATGACTTTTAAATTACTGTCTACTAATTTAATACCAATGCATACGTAGTTTTTTATGTAAAGAATATAGAAAATCAATTAAACAAGAGTAAATATTTTTTTATTGAAAAATAGTTAATGATATAGTTTTACAGTATTTCTTTTGTAGTATAGTAGTCTTGTACCATTATAGTGCGGTATTCTGCTTTTAAAATTTGGGCCCAATGTGAGAGCGGAAATTAAAAGACATTATTACCGAGTTACCGGAAACCGAGTTCTGCATAATACCAAGGTCACAAAAAATACGAATATGGCGGGTATAAGTCTATTATAAAATTATACTCTTTGCTCGTTCGACAATGCTCTTTAGTTAACAATTTTATACTGGCCTTTGAAAATTATTAAGTGGAGCTTTGTTAATAATGAAGTGCAATTACGTAATCTGTACAATAGTCCAAGAAATATTTAGTTAACATTATGAATAATGCAAATCCTTGGACACTTGAATTCGTGAATAAGTCAAAGTTCACTATTCAGAGACAATTTTTCTTTCAATATATCTCTGTTTGAATTCGTAGAAAAGCTTGCAGGAGCTTCCGTAATATAAGTACTTAACGGATTCGAATACAACAGAAATATGTAATATTTTCATAACTAAACCACACTTCAGGACTCATTTTGGCTGGAACAATATTCGTGGGCCCTGTTCAAGGCCATGTCACACATGCTGTGCATAGGGTACGGGAGATTTCCACCGCAATCATTAACCGACATGTGGCTGACTATGCTGAGTATGATCAGCGGGGCTACGTGTTACGCCCTTTTCCTCGGTCACGCGACGAATCTCATACAGTCTCTTGATTCCTCGAGAAGACAATATCGCGAGAAGGTGAGCATTCCATTTTATCTCCTCCGTAAATAAGGTAGCCATTTTGTATAAAATATTTTTAAACGGCAGAGCGATTATTTATGGGTTGGTGAATTGATCAATCGATACACAATATGACGCTTATTTCAAAATAGTTATTTGCCGTCATATCTTTCCCCTCCTATTCCTTACGAAAAGATCGATATATTGCCATTTTAATGCTATTTACGTTAATATAATATACATCTCTATATTAGTCTACGATAATAAGGTATCGCAAGTAAAAAAAAAAAATATATTGTAGCAATATAACGAACGAATCGCAGTAATTTATTTTTATGGAAAATGATAGGCATAGGAGAAGCCTTAGCCTCATCTGTAATAAGAATGATTTATAAATACTTATTATCTTTATTATCTTGATCGTGTATTTAAAGCACTTTAAATGGTGCATTTGCAAATATGTATGCATAAAATATTATTAATAAATAAGTCCCGTTTATAAGGAAATGGGTTAATATGTTTAAAATTTGTCATTCGTACTTCCGATCCCAATGGTGGCTTTAATGAGAGCTGGATTTAATGAGAGTTGGATTAATTGATAACATTAATCTGGATTAGGTGAAACAAGTAGAAGAATACATGGCCTATCGTAAACTACCGAGGGAAATGCGACAAAGGATAACGGAGTATTTTGAACACCGTTATCAAGGAAAGTTCTTCGACGAGGAGCTCATTCTCGGCGAACTTTCCGAAAAATTAAGAGAGGTAATGATGAAACTATTTATTATTATTAACTCCTCTTATATTCAGTTTATATTTTACCATTTATTAAACAAAACATGCGACACATTAACAGTCGTATTATTTATAATTAAAATCTGTCCTGTGCTCATAGCGTAGTTAAGCAAATTTCAATCCCTCGAGGATTTGTACTTTGATTCTTATACTCATTTTTTCCAAATATAATCAGTGGCCAACCGCATCTATCATCATTTTACATGATATCACGCAACGTATTCTGGATTATTTTTATATTAAATTAAAGGATTACTCGACGAATGCTAATGAGATTTTTACTCTCCTTTAGGACGTAATAAATTACAACTGCAGATCGCTAGTTGCATCAGTGCCGTTCTTTGCGAACGCGGATTCAAACTTTGTCTCGGATGTCGTTACGAAACTCAGATATGAAGTCTTCCAACCAGGTAAAATCGAACCCAATTCCATTATGCAATTATTATATCAATGTATGATGATAAATAATTTGTTAACGGTCCTCTATATTGACACGATAGTGTGGTGAAATTATAAATTAATTATGAAATAATGTTAAAGCATTTGTTAAATTCATAAATATTTTTATAATTAAGGGAACAATAATGCATAATCCATGGTCGTTATTTATAATAGATTCAAACATTATTTATAAAATAAGATAATACGTTATATTTCATGTATAAAATTGTTCGAGCAATAATCCATTGTTGTGTTCAAATTCGCGATTTTAATTCCAATAAAGTGCAATATTATCATAATACCGTTCTGTAATTTTCTAAACGATAATAAGCGAATAATATGAAAAAAAAAACATGAAGTTTGAAAGACGCGCGTGAGATTTGTCAGAAGCAAGCGCATTTAATAACCTCCCAATGTACGAAAGGACATTAGGCTTGTATAACGCGGACACACACGCGCGCGCGCAATATAATGAGCCCCAGGGAAATGACACGGCGGTTGCTAAAACGCACGGGCGGCACTGGTGATGGCTGCAGGTGACATTATAATAAAGGAGGGCACGATCGGCTCGAAGATGTACTTCATCCAGGAGGGCATCGTCGACATCGTGATGGCTAACGGCGAGGTAGCGACATCACTCTCTGATGGCTCGTACTTTGGCGAGATTTGCCTGCTGACGAACGCGAGGCGAGTCGCGTCGGTCCGGGCCGAGACCTACTGCAATCTCTTCAGCCTCTCGGTGGATCACTTCAACGCGGTGCTCGACCAGTACCCGTTGATGCGCCGCACGATGGAGAGCGTCGCCGCCGAGAGGTATAAGCTTTGGTTAGGTTTGTTCTATCGAGTTGGTGTGCTATTTATCTATGTCGATCGCTGCCCTTACTCTCTTCCACCCCATTATTATTATACTATACATACAATATACGTACATACATATGCGTGTATATATATACACACATACATATGTGTGTATATATATATATATATATATATATATATATATATATATATATATATATATATATATATACGCACCTACATAGTCGAACATTATTATCGGCCAGTTGACTCGCAGCTCTTGTCGATCATGTTTTTCGTTTTATACACTTTTATCAAGTCATCGCTAATCATTTACGCTGCCTATTATCGACAACTCTGGAGCTTACGATTCTTATATCAACGAGACATAATAAAAATTTAACGGTAATTTACGTGACTGCCAATGATGTTTACATTCTGGATGATTATCGTCTGGGCATTCTGTTTTATCGACATTCACTACTTTCCCTCATTCGAGTACATCATTTCCCGTTGTACATTGTTTTGTAATCGAGATACCATTTCTTATTATTTTTTGTACAAAAACTATGGTATTAATTTACAAATCAAGTAACCATCAACTGTACATATCCGTAATTTAATATTTTTCCAAGCATACCGAGCTAGGACTAATGAAACTTCTAATAATTAACTTGGCACTACTTCTCTTAAACTTTGTATAACAATTGATTATTATTACAAGGAAAAAAAAACGCAAGTGACTGCTGTATTTTTGTGTAAAATGAAATTGTATAAGTAAGATATTATTAATACATTTATTAATATAAATGCAATGAGTACCTTACTTACTGATTCTAGAATCCAGATTAAATATAAATTTCAAATCATAATCTCTATTTTATAGTTTTTGTACAATAATATCATTTATAATAAATATATATAAAATAAATCTTAATTATTACATATAGCTTGTTTATAATATTCTGCATCGATTAAAGGGAATGCTCAATGATAATTCACGAAAGTGGAAAACGTTATATTAATATAATCGAAACAATAGTTACAAAATTTTAGATCCTTTTGTAAATTTTGAAATCTCAATACCTTTTATCGGATAAACTTAAAGAGTTATTATGTCGGTACTTAATACCAATACAGTTACTTTAGAATTTATTATTTAAATTAGTAATTAATTTTCATTTTATACTATTCCTTACTTATTTCGACTAATGAGAAAAACAAACAAATACGTATATTTAAATTGAATAATCAAATTTTGCAATTTAATGGAAAGTGATTTTAAAACATATTAAGGGTTGAATGCAATATGCAAAGATCGGCAGGTTTGCAGAAAGGTTGTCGCATTATTCATACGTTGAGCAAAATGGTGGAAAAATCAATAAGTAATGAATTAAATCATATATATATATATATATATATATATATATATATATATATGTATGTATGTATTTAGATATGTATTTATATGTGTATAAATATACTGGCATTTAAAAATTTACTTAAAGGAAAAATATCCACCTTTTCTGCTTGAGCGTTTTGCTCGCTATTTGCTAAAACAGTGTTGTCGCTATTTTGCTAAATAATTCTGTGTGTTGCTATATCAATTAACACGATAACTTTTCATGCAAACAAATCACACTCGAATCAGAACATCTACGTTTTAATTTATCAACTATTCCGTCATTAATCGAAACCTTTAGCAGCCTAGTGTAACCTGATTTTTTATCGCACCTCAGCAGTAAAAAATTTAAATATTTTTCTCCCATTACACACAATTAAGTATTTTGATTAAAAACTTGATTCTTGTGTTTTTGAAAAATAAATGAAAGTAAGATAATTTTTTTCTCTTTTTTTTTTCTTTCTTAATTAAAATTAATTAACTTCGTAAATCAATTTTAAAGACATAATTGTTATAGAATATTCGTAATAGACTAAACGTCTACGGATTATAATGGTTCGAGCAAGCAGGAAATAAAATATATTTATTACAGGTTAAAAATCGTATCTATAAAATGTAATTTATTTATTAATACCTTTTAGTTTTTACTATATTTGGTAAGTATAATTAATTGTATTGTAGATTTTACTAGTAAGATTTGTTAAACGTAAGCACACTGCTAATAAATTTGAGAATATTATTGTTACTTCTCAGGAGCATTTAACATGCTCTTAAATTATTTTCTAAATTGCAATTAATATTAATAGTCTTCGTTTTAATACGGATGTCACTAATAATTTCGTTAAATAAACGTAATTATTAATTATGCAAAATGGGCATTATTATTTTTCAATTTCATTTCATTTATACGTATAAATGGTACATTAAATGTTACTTGCACAATCGTGGGTATGGTTGCAAATTACGCAGATTTTAAACGAAATAACAATTTTAATGGTACTGATATAAAAGCAAAGCACCGACTTCTAACAAATGTATTATATTCAATGCACACTCGAACTCTCCTAAATAGTCAAATAGTCTAGGATGTCCAATTATATCGAATATGGCTCAGAATAAGCGCGCAACACATACGAAAGAAGGAAGAGGAAAATCAAGTTAATTCAGCTGCTCAATGTTTCACGGTCAAGCCTGATTAATCGATGGTTACGTTCCATGCAACATTCCCTACGCTTAACGACATCTTGCATATTACAGGCTGAACAAGATCGGTAAGAATCCGAACTTGGTAGCGCACCGTGAGGAGGATCTTGGCAGCGAGTCCAAGACGATAAACGCCGTCGTGAACGCCCTGGCGGAGCAAGCGGCGCACGCCAGCGCCAGTGAGGAATCGGTAACTATGAAAAATGCGAAGGAAGAATAGATATTTATTATTGCAGATTTTATTTTCGGTGGCCGAAGCCTTGGCATTTCGAGAATTTGCAATTCTAGCGTTCGTGAAACTATTAAGCCTCTCCAATCAATGCAGGCTACAATTTTATTAACAAAATCCAATGAAAATTACCCAATTAAATTATAACAAATTTCTTATTCCTTATTCAAACTTATCGACAAAAGATCTTATATTAACTAAAGTTCAAACAATACTTCAGCAATGAAATTAATATTGGATTTTATAATCTTTTAACCTACTCGGTTTATTAAACCTAATGTATTAAAATATCATTATGTATATATATATATATATATATATATATATATATATATATTAAATTATTCAACTTTTTCTCAAATGAATAATGAAAATTGTAATTATAGATATTTCCAGAAAATCTTATATTCTAATGAATATTGTTATTATATTAGAAATATTTAAATATTCGAACGTATGAGAGGATTGAAAACTTTTTATGCAATTGTTATTACGCGTGATAAAGGTACTACTATTTTATTCAATTTAATCATTAGATTAGAAATACATGAGACAATATAAAAAATATATATCATAGCACGAAGAAAAATATATGTTGCAATTTATTATTATTATTTTTTTTTTTTTTTTTCATAAAATTATAACGAAATAAATTACAAAACAAATTTAACAAATTTATATAATAACAATAATAATAATAATAAAATACTTTAAAACATTATATACATACATATATATATATATATATATATATATATATATATAGAGAGAGAGAGAGAGAGAGAGTACATATAAACAAACCAAATGGTTAACGCCTGTACATTCGATTTCATGTTATTCCTCTAAATTAGAATTAAATGAAATCTTTTTTTTCTGAGTCAAATAAATTTTCAGCTTCAAGAAATCCCCTTTAAATAGTTGCACTACAAAAACTGATCAGAAGTTGGCCTATTTTTTGGTCAATTTGTTGCTTTTTAGTTTGTAGAGAAAAACTATAATTGACTAAAAAAAAAAGTGCACTGGTAATGGGTTCAAAACCGTTTTTATTGTTAACTTTACTATTGTTTAATCCTAAAATAACTTTAATTTTTAAACATTTAATTTATAATATATATCAAATATATATATATAAGTTGCATATATAAATAACTAACAAATACTACTGTAGTCGAGGTGTTGTTATTAATCATAAGAAACATATTATGTCATCGAAATAGAAAATAATGTAAGTAATTGAAATGTAAGGAGGTAATATGAAACTTTTATTTATAATTTAGTTTCAATATTGCATTATCATAGAAAAAATTATATAAAAATAATGAAAGATTAAAATATTAATGTTAAATATGCATTAATTGTATGATAGAATATAAATATTTCATAATGTAGAATATTGAATACAAATATATTAAATGTATATTTGTATTGTCTTATTTGTAATTCGTGAAACTAAATCTAAAAATATGAGATGAATCTGGATCGGTAAGATGATATAATATATATTTCAATATTTATTCAATTCGAAATATTTTAATTTCTGTAGTTTAAATGAATATCTCCGGATAACAACAATATTGTATTTTCAATATAATTTAGATGAAAATCGAATTACTTATTCAATATAAAAATATATATTTGTCAATTTTTTATTACAATCATTTTACTTTAAATTATTGCAATTTCAGTATTTTAATTCACTATTTCTTCGTGAAACTTTTTATTATTTGAAATTAATATTATAATATAATAAATTATACATGGAGCAAATAATTACAAATATTTGACTTATATTACAAAATGTATAAATATATCTAAGAAATTAAAATTATAAGTATGTAAATTAAATTTCAATTATTTTACCGCTTACCCTTTAAGAAATGATAAAACCGTGGAAAAATTATATAATAATTATTAACTTTTCAACGTATGTTCGAATTACTTTAAAAAATTAGCCTTAAAAAAAAATATATTCAGCGGCGATGAATATTGAAAAAACAGAAATGTTGAAAAAACGTTTATGCCTCAAAAGGCAGGAAAATACAAATAATTATTCCAGTGTTTAATATATAAACTTTATGGAAAATATCTCAAACATTTGCAGGTCCACAGCATGGAATTAAGATCGCTACCGGCTTGTTTATTACCCAGGCCGAAGTCCGAGAACAACTTTGCTAGTCAGGAGCTGACACGCGAAGGTCGTCGAATATTCCACAAAAGCGATACCTTCCACAAGGACTCGTATCAATGACGACACTCCTACTACTAGCCCACGCAGCGGTACTAAAGTTAGCCCTTAGCAGCTACGTCATTCATGGGACCCCTTATTCGTTTTTTTACATGCTTACGAGTGAGCACACCACAAACATAGAACCAGTTACGTTCGCGCGCGATCACATTTACGCATAATATGAGAAGGATAACATCAAATATGTACAGAAAGAGTCTTCGGAGGAACGTAAGGAAATTATTATATCGATGCTGTGAATAATTTTCCTTCGTAACACGCAATAAGTATAATTATGGTGATAAAAAAATAATGGATTTACGCATATGCATTTATATGTTGATATATGTAATATAAAAAAAAAAACTTGCATATGCTTACGTATGTGGACATTTATATGTGTATATGCGCGCACACAAACACACACACACACACACACACACACACAAACACACACAAACACACAAACACACGCACGCACACGCACACGCACGCGCACGTACACACGTACACACGCGCGCACGTACACACACGCGCACACACACATACAAACTACATTCGCTCGCATATACACAGAAACAAAATATATTTACGCAGCTCTTTAAAAGGACGAAAGAATGATTGGAGAGATATTGGAGAAAAAAATGCTGAATGCGTGCATTTTAAATACTCGCAGCTCCCACTGGCATAAAGCGTATAAGAACATAAGGACAATATCAAGATGCGAAGAAAAAAAGAAAGGAAAAATTAATGAACGTTTCATCGCGGGAGTTCCATGAATTCTCCTCTATAAAGTGTATCTTTCAAGTGCAAAATAACAATAAGAAAAGACAGATAACAATTATTGGAGGAAGGATACTTTAGTACTGTTGGACTACTACTGCAATATAATATATAATGCCTGAACATTCGAAGCTTGACATTATATATCATTATAAAAAATAATATCGCCAAAATGAAAAAGTGCAGAAGTGTTAGAATCGTGTGCGATTCGACGTTCTATTTCGTTTATTCATTCTTCGAGATAACGCGTGTGAGAAGAATCAAGCCTCTATAAATTGCAGAAACGACAAGAGATATAAAAACTTCATTCTTTATTTGAGCAAAATATTTAGAGATAAAATATAATGTTTGAAAATATAAAAGAAAGTAGAGGCCTATGAAAGGAAATATGTTGTGTGCTGGCGCTAATGATAATAGAAAGATTAAGGTGGAAATGTTACGTTATCTGTTATTAGATATTATATAGATCTAGCAAGAGAAATTATTGAAAGCACGATTTTCTAAATATAATTCATATATATGTATATGTATATATATATGTATATGTATATGTATATATATATATATATATATATATATATATATATTGAATGGACATTGTGGTGAAAAAAAATTCATAACTATAATCGAGCGGTAATTCTTAACAAACTTTTCGATTAGTCACTAACAAGGTGTACATTTGATTTTAATTTTCATTCAAATATACAATCGACCTCTGTGCAGAAAGGAAGAAAAACAGTATATAAAATAGCTTATCGTGCAATAATACTGAAAATGATGGAAATATTAAAGGATATTGATGATGTGAGAAATACTATTGTATGTTTATGGTCGTCAGAATTGTTTATAATTGATATTTGTAAAGTTTCTTTTTATCGCATACAACTTTGGAATATATTTTATATATTAGCACAAAAATTAAGCTGCTTATACTAGATATATGATAATATTATTTTTATTACCATAAAATGTCACCATTTTATATCTTTATTGTCTTCAATATACGATAAGTTAAAGAAATGTGAACTACTTTAATAAATGCGTTCTTAGTTTGTAAAATATTGTTCCTTAATCTTTTAATAAAACCAAATTATTGGATTATAATTTATTGGAATGCTTCCATATTATATACGTTATAAGATGAAAAATAATTATTCTTTATTATCACATAGTTTGTTTATTCAAGCAAATCGTATAAACTAGTACACTGTCAGTACAATTATAATGAACAGTATTTCACATTTCCTCGATACACGAGTTAGTTGGAAATATGCTTGTCCATATTACTTATAATTTTAATTTTTAAAGAAATTAAGTATAGGAGATAATATACAAATGTCAATTGTGAACAAAATTAAATAAGGTAAGATCAGAATCTGAACGACCGTCCTTACATATGTGTAACGGCGGAGTATAACGTTACATGGATTTTAAAAATATTCACATGAAAATAAATAATATAAGACGAATGAGTTATGAATAAATAACGATACTTCGAGTCCAAAAATCATGTTAACTTGTTGAGAGATTTTAGGGCTCCGAAAACGACAGAGAGATACAAAGAAAAATCGAGTTAGGTGAAACAAATACATAAAGCACACGTACGCAGTCTTTATACAAGTTGAACGAATGCAATGTACTATAAAATAAATTAAAAAAAAAAAAAAAAAAACGATGAAACTATAAATACTATAAATACTATAAATATAATAAATTATTATTGTTACTATTAAAATTGCAATGATTACCAAAACATTACTACATAATTAGACGACTTATAAATATATAAATACAATATAATATGCAGAAAATTAAAAAGAGTATCTTTAGTCAGAAAATGGAAAAATGATTATTAATCTATGAAAATGTAAGAGATTTATCAAATTGAATAGCTAATAAGATTTTTATTTTTTTCATCAAACATGTAACGGATATTTAGGGTAATTATCGATTTCAGCTTGTTTTAATTTCACAAAACAGTAGGTGCTTCCGGAAGAATTATTTCTTTATAAATTAATTTAGAAGTTTTGAAGGTATAAGTTTGATACACAAACTAGAGACATAATCATTTTATTTAATACTATCGCGGATAGAAAAGTCCCTTGAAAATATTTTAAAATAATATTTAAATATTGCCTATTTATGTAGCAATGGCCCCGTTTTAATATTTAAATTTCGATTCTTATGCAGCAGTGATATTAATAATTTTATAAAGCGTAACAGTAATTTAATGCTTATAAATAAAAAAAAATATTAAAATGAGGAAGAGGTGATAAACTATGAATTTGCTTGTTTCTTCAGTTTTGGCATACAGTGCATTCATACATATAGAATAATAGAACTTGAAAATAATGTAAATATATCCTACACGGAATAATGAAACTGTAAACAATTGCACGCGTAATGACAACACTTATACATATGTAAACATACACAAAGCCAACAAATGATAAAATATATGATGAAAAGTAAAATACCTATTTTCTTTTGTAAAAAAAAAAAAAAAAAAAAAAAAAAAAAAAAAAAAAAAAAAAAAAAAACAAAAAAAAAAAAGAGGTGATAGTTTTTATGCCTTGATTTTACGCGATCCTTAATTCGCCTTGAAAATCATTCGGTGAACAGACAAATACGTCGATTGCAAACAAATAATAATAATTATTATTAAATAAACATGTAATATAAAAGAAAAATAAGGGAAGAAAACCGCGTGCTATTACTATTCTACTACTACTACTACTACTACTACTTCAATTGGAGCTATTTAAACGAGAGAAAAGAAAATATTCAAGAAAAAAACTTGCATAAAAAACGAAATAAGTTCTAGATCAGAAATACATAAGAAAGAAATAGAAATGGTTCGTACAGAATAGATAACAATTATATATTACTAATATATTAAGAACTGACATACTCGATAATCGATTATCGACAGAAAAACAAACACTGCAAAATACTGAAACATTAGTAAAAAGAAAAACTATAATTATTAGGCACCATTAAACTAATGACAGATAAAATAAATTAAATAAAAACGTGTAGCGAATCTATAAGGTATAAACTTACAGGTGTTCCGTGTAAATGATATGTAGTTTGACTGACAAAGAGAATGAGAAAGAGATAAATAACTTTTTTATAGCGGCTAAAAATTCGAAATGTAAGCTCCGTAAATGTGAAAGTGAAATAAATTGTCCAAGAACCGGAAATGGTTTATTTCAAGATTCTACCGTGAAATTATAAAAATATTATATTCACATTCGAATATATAGTTAAATTATTTTAATAATTAATAAGAAGTAAAAAATTGATGTTCGTTAAAGTTCAATTTCTTTAAATGTCAGTTAAGAATAAAACTTAAAGTATAAAAAGTTTTTATCCCCATATTACATTATTTTGAAATTAAAATATTGCATTTTTTTTTATTAAATTGTGAATAAAATTAATTCGTATCGATTATTTTTTTTTTTTTTTATTTTTTAATATTATTTAATAATTACATTATAAAATATATATGGATTTTTATGTTAATATTTTTAATTAAAATATAATTACATCGACCGTTTAAGTAACAAGTATTTAAGTTTTAAACAGTTAAAAGATTAAAATATGTAATTTCTTACAATTTATGAAATATTATATAAAGTATATTGTTAACAATGGAATAATATTAATATTTTATAAGTAAGTATATTTAAAAAAAAAAAAAAAAAAAAAAAAAAAGTTTAAAAATCTTCTTTCATTCTTTAATAATTCAATTATCATTTGACAAATTGTTAATACTAATTTATACAAAGAAAAGTTAATGCCTTTGAGTATTCAAGACAGTTAAAATTAGATGATTAAAAACGTAAAATATTATTTGAACAAATTAATGAAAAATCTATTTGATTGATAAAATACTTTTATTATTAATTCACAAAAATAAATAAATAAATAAATAAAATAAATCGGTGGTATAAATTAGATTTCGCTTTATTTCAAAATCAAATGCGATTTTCTTGAAAGTTTGTAAAATAAGGCAGCAAATATATGAAATTATGAAATGATAAAGCAGTAATAAAGTCTCATAATAATACTATTAATTAGCCAATGAGCTTGTACTATTTAGGGAATTCAAGACTACGATGTTCATTAAACAAAAACAATACAATCTTGCATATCAGGAAATTATTTTCTTAAACGATGAACGTGTATTCATCGTTAGTGTATAAAATAAACAACAAACGTATCGTCATACTTGTGAATTTGTCAATAAGTATGTAAAACTTGAACGACTTTCTCACAACTTTCTCTATTTTAATGATTTTCCTTTAAAATGAAATAAATGGTAAATTTGAATTCCGATGTACTAATCTTTTAATATATGAATTGAAAAAAGAGAAGCAAAACAAAGTACTTCGTATTGATATTCTAACTCTTTAAAGAATATTTAACATTGTCACTATTTAACCCGTTTCCGGTTTCAAGGACACAGTGAAAAAAATTTACACACAACCGAAGTCTATTATACTGTGCTTTTG